GTTATAATTCCCTCTTTTACGAGATATTGTATTCGTTGCCTCTTGACGACTCCAGATGCCACAAGTAATATAAAGTACCCGAGAATGCTCACCGAGCTTATGATCAATGTACCGGAAATTAAAACATGGAAAAAGTCCATAATCTTTTCTTTTGGAGGAGACTTGGGCTTGTTTTTCAACATCACTCCCAGTTTGAATACTTGTTTTTGGTGCTGTTGTTGTTGGACTGTCGATGACAGCCCTCTAAGGCGCAAGGGATTGAGAAGAGATTTCAGAGGCATCTGGGAAAGGAGCCGGTTTGAACTCCTAAAGTACATAATTTTCTAAAAATAGTTGCTTTCATTTGTTCGTGTTGCATTTATTTGCTCCCTTGTTCGCAAGGTAGCTCTTAAAATGGAACAAGCCGGTACATGGACAAACGCCCTTCAAATGTGCCATTGCTCAGCATTGCGGCCGTTTGAGGATCGGGAAATATATGACCGCTTCAACTTTTATTACCACCGCCATGATGACCATAAGTTATGTTTATTATTTTTAACCCATTCCGATAAATCATGGAATACTGTAAAATTACAACTTAGACAAGGGAAGCTTCATTTCTCAAATATTCTCCTACATCGGCCTGGTTGAAGCAGCAAATTCCTGTCGGGTCAAGCTTCAAACAATCAATAGATGATCGCGAGGTTACTGCAAACCCTAAAGGAATGTCATTGCTCGAATAAACAATTATGCCTTGGTGCTCTGGAGTGTCTTCAGTCATCTTTGCCAAATGGGCCTTGATTACATGTCCACCATAAAGAAATGTGGTCTCCCCTGTACTTTTGAGCCAAACCTTAAACTAAATAGGCATTAGAGATTGCATAAACAAAGCATCAAAATGTAAAATCTGAGTTTGGTACCTTGGCATAAGGTGCAATATAATCCAGAGCGGTAATGTGCATTTTAAACTTGCCTGTCTTGGTAAACTTTCCGAGGCAAGACCCAAGGGCAAGTAAATTGTCCCTAGGGATGTGCTCTGCCTTTTTTGCAATCTCCTCTCGTACATAGTAAACACGTTCCCTGTGTACCCTAAACAAGTGCGGATCTGCGGGTTTGTCTGTCAATTGTGAAATATTCCTCCCAATATATTTTGCAAGCTTTGCAAACAGAACTTCAGTTTCGGCCGTAGTCAAAGGTCTCATTAATAAAAATTAAAAGTACCATTAAAAAATATTAAACTTACACATTTTTCTAATTAATTTTATCGATGGTATGTATCTGATCGCCGCTCTTTTACTTTGAACTATTTCATCCATTCCTGATCTAACTTCTTTTAGACTACTCGTCTGAAGCACAATAGAAAGAAGAGAGGACATGTTTCTGCTGGACATGGTCGTGTTGGAAAGCACCGCAAACATCCGGGAGGTCGCGGAAAGGCTGGAGGTCTGCTCCATCATCGAACTCTTTTCGACAGGTTCCATCCTGGATACTTTGGAAAGAGAGGAATGCGCCATTTCCATCTTCTTCGCAATCAATATCACTGCCCAATCATCAATATTGAAAAACTTGCTACTCTTGCTACTCCCGAGCAGAATAAATCCGACTCCAAGACTTCTGCAATCGTAGTCGATACCCTTGCCGCTGGATTTGGTAAGGTTTTAGGAAAGGGTCGCTTTCCCACACAGCCAATGATCGTTAAGGCCCGCTATTTTTCAAAGCGCGCAGAAGAAAAGATTAAAAGTGCAGGTGGTGCTTGCGTCCTTGTTGCTTAATTATTAAACCGGACCTAGCATTTGAAACAATTAGTTTGTTCATCAGACGCGAAAATCTTTGAGCTCAATCCAGTTTTTTAAAGTTCCAATTTTACATCGGCTATTGGTTTTGGAAATCCCGCGTTTACGGGGGTATATAGCTCCACTGGTTTGAGGGTTGCTGCCCCTAATTTTACAGTAGTTATTTATAACAACAAAGCAGAAATCCTCATTCAATGGACTCCATTTGACAACACAGCCGAAAATTTCACAGTTAGATTCAGTAGCCATAACACATTCTACAACCATATGGTGTCTGACCTAACAAATACTGCAAGCTTTAGCGTCAATGTTTTTACACCTAAACTTGTTTCTGAAACTTAAAATGTAAGGGTCGTTTCTGATCTAGGTTCGGCAATACCCTCCTTGTTTGGCATTTGTCATTGAGCATTCACAATATGTTAATATCACTTTGCCGAAAGTTAATAAAAATGCCTCTAATGTTGGTATTCGTGGCATTGACTGCGTCTAAAAAACTTTTTCTGGTAGAAACACTACCATTTAAATGTACGAATATGGGAACACCWTTGTTTTCTATGTTCCATTTAACACTGCTAATGAAGGCGATGTCGCATTGGATTTGGGCACAATCGCAATTAAGAAGAGCAATCTTTTGGATCGCATTTTCCTCAATGTACCAAAGATACGGATGATTTTTCCGCTTCAGGTCTCCAAAAAACTTTAAAAGTTAGAGAATATGGCTTGATTATTCAACTTCTGAATGGAAATAATGGAATCGAATAATACCTATCCAAACAATACATATTAACATTCTTCTGGACGACATTTCGCCCTGGCATTAATAAGGTTTGGAAATGCACGTGCATTTTAGTTATCATAAGCCAGTTCTCGAGTCGGTCTAAACATCATATATATATATATATAT